GGGGGGGGGGGGGGGGGGGGGATGTTGCGTCGGCGTCGTCGACGATGTTGATACCAAAGCGTCGGTGGTGTTGTTGTTCAAGTTTCTACTAGTCGGTGCCGCCACCGGACCGAATATACGTGAGTGTTTAGCCGTGTTTATATATCAGTTAAGTAAGTTATTAATATTCTTACTTTAATACAGTGGTTCCCAAACTTATTTTGTCTACTGCCCACTTTGAGAATGAATATTTTTTAGCGCCCCCATATTAGAGATTAAGCAATCTTTTAATTCATATTAGTTGATGTTCACAAGTTGTTGAGAGGCTAGGAGGCCTAGGCTAAATAAAATTACAAATCACTCCCCAGGCCTCTACACAACGACCATATTTTCTTTCTGGGTCTCTTACCGCCCCCCTTGAGACCTGCAGCGTCCACAAGGGGGAGTTATCGCCCACTTTGGGAAAGACTGCTTTAAGAGTACTTACTATAAAAAATATAGTTTTAAATAAGTCTATGAGCGAGAAACTCGAGTTAGTGAGAAACCTCTGTAAGCGAGAAACTAGGATTAGTGATGAACCTCTATAAGCGAGAAAATATTTCAAACTCTGGTTTATCCAGGATTAAATGTTTTTTTTAAATAAATATAACGTTTTTTTACAGAATAAATAACTTAGAAAACGTAGATGCTAAGCGACTGGAAGTGCTAAGATCTTACAGCGAGGATTGTTACAAAGCTGTGATGTGGCTCAGAGAGAATAAAGACATGTTCTCAAGACCTGTATATGAACCTATGATGTTAGAAGTAAGTTAAATATACTAATCATCGCCCTCGACTTTGTCTGTGCGTAATTAAAAATAGCCAATATATGCCTGCGTGCATCAGCTACCTTCCAGTCAAACTCCTGACAAAATCTGTCCAGCCATTCTGGAGATTATCTGGAACACACGTGGCCCTGAAAATAGATTAACAGACAGACAACAGATACAAATTGCTTTTTTGTTTACTTACACATACTTATCTTTTTTTTATTAATTTGTGTAGATATGTTTTCAACTTACTTTAGCCTTATTTGCATATGTTTAGAAGCTTTTAGTTTTTATTTTTAATTTATCTAGCGCTCGGTCTCATTACTTGGTCGCTAAGGAACATTTTTAGTGAAGTTACTAAATTAATGTTCATACAGTACAGTACTCAACTAAGAAATTGGTAATTTTTTAAATGCTATTATATATATTCGTATTACAGAACTAATTTTGAAATGTCAAATTTAAATTTATATTTCTTCTTGTATTATTAAGATAAAAAAAATTCTGTTAATCACTCTAGTATTTGTGTAAATAATTATCCAACAGATAAACTTCACGGATGCAAAGTTCGCGCGTTACCTAGAAGCGACAGTACCGGCGCGGGACCTCGCCGCCTTCACCTTCGAGAGCAGCGCCGACATGAACCTCTTCCTGCAGAAAGTGAGGAGAGAGCGCGCTCTGAAGCTGGTCAATGCTATCTGCAGTACCAATTCTGCGACACCACATACATCTGATATCGCACAGCTTAGGTGAGATTTGTTAATACGTATACACGCATACGTACATGTACGCACTCATACAAACACGTACGCACACATACAAACACGTACGTACTAAGCAAACACGAACGCACTCACACAATCATGTACCCACTAACACAATTACGTACGCACTCTACACACACGAACGCACAGATAAACACGTACGCATTCATAGAAACATGTACGTACATTCAAAACACGTATGTACATACACAAACACTTACGTGACCACACAAACAAGTACGCACACTACACACACGTAACCACTCACACAAAAACTCATACGTATACACACACAAATAATCAGATAGAAATAAGTTCATAAAATCAGAATTTACAGTTAAACGCGCGGTATTAAAAAACCATAATTAGTAGCTTGCATGTTCTTCCAGATTAGATCTACATCTATGCCTAATTTCAGTGAGATCTATGCAGCCATTCTGGAGATACCTTCTAACAAACATCCAAACATTGGCGTTTATAATATTATTAAGATTAATTAAGATTTTATTTCCAGTTACCTAGGTTTTTACACATACCTAATAGATACGATAAACGGTCCTGAGCCTATCATCAACTATCTCTGCAGACAGTACGGTATACACAGGATACCTATAGGCAATGATCACACGTACAAAAACAGCGCTAAAGTACCCGCTAATATCACACATTTCTTTACTGGTAAGTGATATTTTTAAAAATTATTCAAACTTTCGTGAGACATTATACTAAACTAATATAAAAAAAACGGAGAAACACGTATATTGGTGCCGCCACTGGACGAATATAGTGAGTGTTTAGCGGTTTTTTTTTATATTAGTTTGATTTTTTTTTATTATGAAATACTGTCAATGTTGGATAAGCGTGACTCTATGTGATTGCGATATTTTTATCACGTATCTAGTTCTCGCTTATAGAATTTTGTCACTTATCCAGTTCTTGCTTATAGAAGTTTCTCTCTTACCCGAGTTTCTCGCTTATCCAGGTTCCAACGCAATATGCTGTTGGGTTTTATTGATACTTCGTCGTTATTGAAGTACGAACTGAAAAAAAATTCTGACATTGTTACTATTTTTTTTTTTAAGTTTCAAAACATAAAGTTATGTTTTTAAGTTTATTTCAATCAAAAATATAGAAATTGAGTAAGCATTTTCTTTCAAATAATTTAAATAATTTCTTATTTTTATAAGGTTTTCATATTATACTTAATTTTAAATCAAAATAAATTAAGATATTTATTAAATTGTTTCCAGAGAACCACAGGTTCAGTGTACGTGTGTCAGCGTACAGCGGTGTCAAAAGCAGTTCCATTATAGAGATACGTCAGGCGAGACTTCTCGCTAACACTGTTGATGTCGACCAAATACATAATCTTAATAACCAGTAAGTATACATTATACTAAGTATACATTCTGGTAAGTATACATATCAGTTAGTGTACTAACTTGTTTGTATACTAATCAGTTGGTGTACTATTGAATATATCTTGTAGTTAGTATATTAATCAGTATGTGTAGCAAGTAGTTAGTGTAATTTTACACATTATTAGTTGGAATTATTTGGCGGGAATGGCGCGCTTTGGTTTTGAAGTCAAGTGTCAGAATGATTAGTGATGAGATATAAACGTTGATAAGGCTATTGTTGCGCCAGTACACCGACACAGTGTCGGATTTTCTTCCTAACAGTACTAACTTGGAAGTGTACCAGCTAGTTAGTGTAATGATTAGTTGGTTTACTAACTAGTGGCTATATCGTCTAATTAGTTTGTCAACTAGTTAATACACGAATCAGTAGTACTAACTTGGGAGTATACTAACTAATTACTTTATCAACTATTTAGTATATTAGGTTACAGTTATTTAAACTGACTGATTAATTAAAATTAATACTGCATTCAGGAATTTGTTTTTTTTTCTTTGGAAGTATAATAAATAAAAAATAAAAACTACGAAAATTTGCAAAAATATTGCTAATATTATAAATGCGAATGTTTGGATGGATGTTTGTTAGAAGGTATCACCAGAACAGCTGCATGTATTTCACTGAAATTTGGTATAGATGTAGTACACAGTCTGGAAGAACGCATAGGCTATTAATTTATATAAAATTTCCAGATTAGCCAAACATCAAGAGACATCTCAGCAGCACAATGTCAGGATGCAGGAGATAGACAACAAGCTGATGTCTCTGGAGGCCGAGTTGAATAAATTGAATGCAACTAGGAGAGTTATTCATGAAAATGTCGAAAAGGTAAGAATATGCATTTGAAAATGTTTTTTTTTGTTCATAAATGAACTATTTGCAAGTGTTTCTCAGTTTTTTTGATGTTATTATGCAATTAACATGTTATTCTACACATAAATTTAATCTAATTTACATTCATGTTATTTAAACGCGTTAAATCTTTTTATTGGCTTTAAAATTGGTAATAACTCAATTTCTAGGTTAGAACACTCTCCGCACAAATCCGTCTCCAAATAAAGAAGGTAGAAGATATAGAGAACGAGCCGACATTGAATATAGAACAAGAGAGAAGTAAATGTAAGAGGAAACAGCGGGAGTGTGTCATAAAACTGTGTCAATGTCATCAAGAATTGACTGGCACTATGAGGAAGCTGCAGAAAAAAGTCAGTAGTATGGAGATTTGTAAGGTAATAAAACTTTAGAAATTATCAAAAAAAATCAATCTGACTAATATTATAAATGCAAATGTTTAGATGGATGGATGGATGTTTGTTTGAAGGTATCTCCAGAACGGCAACATAGATCTTAAAGAAATTTGGCATACATATAGAACATACACTGGAAGAACACATAGGCTTTTTTTTTAATTCCGCGCGGACGTAGTCGCGGGCAACCGCTAATATCTATATTTGTTTATAAACAACTAGTTTTGTCCCGCTACTCAGTCCGCGTGAAATTAAAAATGATTAATTAGTAGCCTATGTGTTCTTTCAGACTATTTTCTACGTCTATGACAAATGACAGAGATAACTTCAAACAAACATCCATCCATCCATCCACAAATTCTCATTTATAAAATTAATAAGATTTGTGAGCACCCAAATAGATTAAGATTGGAATATAATTGGTAAACTTCTTTTCTTTTCAGGTTAAATTAGATTTCTATAGAAACTCCATTGTAAATGAGGAGAGTAAATTAAGAGAATTAAAAAACGACATGAGAAATGTACAGGTAAACGAGTTTCTTGAAAAATAATTTATACTTTAACTATATGCCATTTTTTTTTCATCCAAAAAGGTCAAATAACTTTCAAATATCATTTTTTTTACAGGCAACATTAGAAAACATAGAGAATCAACTTACCCGTGTCAAAACGAAAGCTAAAGAGAAACTAATCGAAGCAAAAAGGTCTTGTAATAACAAACTGCCGAATGACCCCGACTTCCCTCACAGTGAAGACTTCGCGGTGCTGCCGAGTGAGGTGAATGAACTGATGGCGCACTGCTTCGAGCTGCAGGCCAGAGTCAACTGCATGGATGAAGGAGATGAGAGGGTATGACACCACTGTTACACCACTCTATCAGATTACACGATTGTGCATGACTGTACACGATAATACACTTTTGTAGTAGATATTACACTATTGTAGTTGATATTACACGACTATAGCCGATATTACACGATTGTTTCTAATAATACACGATTGTATCCGTTTTACACTTTTGTAGCTGATAGTACACAGTTGTAACAGATATTACACTACTGAAGTTAGTTCACGTTTGTAGTAGATATTGCTCGACTATAGCCGATATATACATGATTGTAGCTAATAATATACGATGTAGCCAATATAACACTACTAAAGGCAATAGTATACGATAGTAGCGTAAATTACATGTGTCATCTCTACCTTGCAGGCCATAAAAGAGTATGAAGAACGTGAACAGATGATAGCAAATTTGAAAAGTGAAGTAGAGAGTTCCGGTGACGTCAGTAAACAACTTGAGATTAAGATGAACCGTATCAAGTAAGTTATTTTAATTGCTTTTACTTAAATTCAACTTTAAATGTAAATAATTTTAAATCGACTTCGAAAAAAAAGAAGTTCTCGATTGATTTTTTTTTATTTTTGTTACTAACTTTGCTCCTGGTTGTCTAATTTTCGTAATTCTTTTTTTATTGGAAAGATAGTGTATGTGATTTGGTTTCAATTTCAATTGCAAAATTAAAAATTATTTATTAGTTTTTTTTTTAATTAAGGTCGATATGGTTGCCGCCTTTAGAAGAGTTACTTCGCGATATAGACAGAGCATTCGGTGATATGTTTGCGAAGCTCGGCTGTGCGGGGGAAATCAAACTGGATAAAGCCGGTGCTGATGTGAGTTTGTCAATCTCGGAGATGTTAATTGGTGTTCATAAGTGTAGTTTTAGTATGATTTACACATTTTTAAATGTGTTCCATTGTCACAGGGTTAAAGCACGTAACTTGGACTGCAAGTCCTGGGTTCGAATCCCGCCATGTACAAATGTGTTTTTCGATTGACATATATACATTTATCCAACGCTCTTACAGTGAAAGAAAATATCGTGATGCAACCTGCACATATCTGAGAAGAAATTCAAAGATATGTGTGAAGTCAACCAACCCGTACTTGGCCAGTGTTGACTATGGCCAAGCCACTAGGGCTTCTCAGTTGGGACCTAAGCTGATGATGATGATTTGTTGTGTGTAGGAGGACTACGAGAAGTACGGTGTGAGCATCCTGGTGAGGTTCCGCAGCTCGGAGCAGCTGGTGCAGCTGACCCGGCACGCGCAGTCAGGTGGGGAGCGCGCGCTCACCACCGCCGTCTACCTCATGGCGCTGCAGCAGCGCACCACTGTGCCCTTCAGGTCTCATGCTGCCCTCATCTAACATATCTTACTTCTTACTAATATTATAAATGTGAATGTTTAGATGGGTGGATATTTGAAGTTATGTACTTAACGGCTCAACGGATCTTGATGAAATTTGGCACAGATGTAGAACATAGTCTGGAACACATAGGATACCTATTTTTTTATTCCTGTGCGGATGATGTCGCGGGCGACACACAGTAATATCTATAAATGTGGAATTTAAAATAGGCTCTGCGTTCTTCCAGACTATGTTCTAAATGTATATCAAATTTCATCGCGATCCATTCAGCCGTTCTGGAGATACCTTGTAACATCCATCCATCTATACATTCGCTATTTATATTAGTAATATAGTAAGATTAGTTTTAGATTTACATTGTCTTGTGTAGGGCTTAATCTAACAGATCAGATGTATAACTTTTTAATGTGTTGGTTCCCCTTATTGTGGGTTTCTGAAACGAAAATGTCCGTTTTAAAAATATTTTTATCTCTGTTTTATGCAGATATTTCGGTCTCAGAAACCAACGATTAGAAAATCCATATAGTTAGTATAAGATGTTAACAGATGCGTGGATGAGATCAACCAGGGTATGGACGCGATCAACGAGCGCAAGATGTTCCAGCTGCTGGTGCAGGTCACCACTGAGTGTGACAACGCACAGTACTTCCTGCTTACACCCAAAGTTAGTACAAATACTTCTATCTACTTATCTAGTTTTTTTATTTATTTAAATATTAGCAGATTTTTTTGTTAATTTACTAATATTTCTTGTATTAACTAAGCTCTATGCTTCTGCTAGGATATGGTTTACAATAATCAAAGTTGAACTACCGACCTCATGATCGGAAACCCGCACTCTTAACCAATAGGCTATTGGTGGCTACACTATAACGTTTGTTACATAGAAATGCGCTGATGTACTAGTGAGCTTAACTCTAAAAGAGTTCTCTTACAACTTACCATGTGATACACAGATGTTTAGTGGGTAACTTAGTCCTTGTCGGATTGGGAGACCCTCAGGAATTCAGTCGTAAATCTGCCCTGAGGAACCACCAAGGACGAATTTAAGTGGCCACTTGCTCATTTGCCACCTTAATATATCAAAAACTAACAAGCTCTCCGAGTGTGGAGTCAATTGAAGCTTTCCAAGATATAAAATGAAGAGTTATAATAATATTTTAGTCCAAAGAACGATATTTTTCTCTTTTTTATAGAGGTTTCTCGCTTAACCATTTTTGTTTGTATTTCCAACCCCTTACACTTTAAAAAAAAATGGTCCTTCAAGCCGGATTTCAATAAATTTGTACCTAATTGTATTTAATTCCAGTTGCTGACAAATCTAGAATATAACTCCAAGATAACGGTTCATACGATAATGAACGGCCCTCAAGTAATGCATCACAGCAAATGGAAATGTAAACAGTTTATTGAAAACGCAAGGAAATATATGTCAACTCAGTAAGTATTGTGTAAATCAGCTCTGAATCGGTTCAAAAGTTCATATAGAGTTGTAGATCAACAAGATGCTTGTTGACTCGCAGCTTAAAATCATAATTCTATGAAATTAAATAGAGCAGCGAGTCACAGATCTGCAGATCATCAATTTTACTTGAGCTACCCATGAATACTTGTCTGTCTATATAGTGACGTCATCATGACATAGATTATAAGATACCAGAGTGGACATTGAGTAAATTCTGTGTTTCGTCTAATTAGTTCTATCTCCTTTTTTCTTCGTCTATTAATTCTTCAAATTTCATATATATTTTCTGTATACTCTGACATTTATTCAAACTGATAATACGTTTGTACAATTTCAGTTTTAATACGCGATAATATCTAGAAATATTCCTTAATTTTAAATTTTTCTTACAAAATAAATCTCTTGCTATAAATATAGCGGGCCTGAATGAGCGTCGGTGGCTCAGTGGTCAAGCACTTGACTTGCAATCTGCAGGTCCTGGGTTCGAATCCCGCCTTGCACCATGTGTTTTTCCATTTCCGATTTACATATGTACAATTATCCGACGTTCTTACTGTGAAGGAAAACATCGTGATGCAACCTGCACATATCTGAGAAGAAATTCAAAAGATATGTGTGAAGTCAACCAACCCGCACTTGGCCAGCGTGGTTGACTATGGCCTAATCACCCTTAACTTAGGGTAGGCTCCGAGCCCCTCGGTGGGGACATATAGTGAGCTGATGATGATGAAATATAGCGATAGTCAAATTACTATGGACCAATGTTGATTACCAATTGTTTGAATCAAATACATACCAAAAAGTTGATTATAAACATAAAAACATTTATCGTTGGTTTCCGAGACCAAATTCATAGTTTATTTTTATCTGTATTTTTGTCAAAGATATTTTTTATACAGAGATTTTACTCTCAGAAACTAACTATTCCTATAATAATAATCGTCAGTTTTCACTGCCAAAGTATTTGTAATAAACATATTTTCTGTTTCTCTTTGGGTTGGTTTTATCTATCGGCAGTTAGTCCAAAGATTAAAGTTTTTAAAGTTAGACATGCCTTATATTCTTGTATGTGTATATACTATTTTGATAGTTTAGGTTTTATATAGACATCTTTGTTTATTAAATTATGTTTTAAATAAAAAAATATATAAGCAATTCTTTTATTTGTCATTCATACATATTGTAAAAATATAATATTTCTAGGATTACGTAATTTTTTAACAATTGTATATAATATTGTTATTATATAAGCCAAGCTATCATTGTTTTTTTATATTTGTTAACTAGCTGTCGCCTGCGACTCTGTCCGCGTCCGAAAATTTAATAAGTAGCCTATGTGTTCTTCTAGACTATGTTCTATATCTATGTCAAATTTGATCAAGATTCACAACGCTGTTTTGGAGATATCTTCAAACAAACATCCATTCAAACATTCGCATTTATAATATTAGTAAGATTTAATGTTTTTTTTTAAATTTTATATGACTGGAGATTAATCGTATAAATATTTTATTGTGCATATTTGTAACAAAATTGCTTGCTATAAGCCACAGAGTAAGCTAAAAGTAGACATGACATATGGTGTCAGAGTAAAAAATCACAGAGTAAAAATACCATAGAATAAAAATGTCACAGATTAAACAAGTCAAAGAATAAGTCACAGATTGTAACCATAGATTTAAAAATTGTTTTAATTTTCTTTATTAATATTTAATTAGTCATTTGCACGCCTTTCCCCGTCCATTGCTCGTCCAGTTTCACGTCACAATCTAGATCTCTGAGGGCTGATTTTATATCGAATCCGAAGTCTTGGGAGAAAATGGCGTACGTCTGGTTCAATATATCTTCAATTCCGAGTTCCTTGAATTTACTATTGTAGTCGCGACATCTAGCGACCATGTTGCGTATCGCCCAGCAACCGTTCTTCTGAAAATTAATTTTACGAATTTGAGTGACAATATTAGAAATTGAAAGTTTTGTATTATTTGTTGCTGTCTGTATGTATGACCCTAAAGACTTTTTGTACAACCGAGGGAATACTACGTGGAGATGGTCTCAGCAATCATGGTTTTCCTTCCAAAAGTATACATGTGCGTAATTTTAGACATTATTAGTTACAATGCTTTGACGCGAATGACGTGCTTTCATTACCAAGTCTTGTATCAGAATGATTAGTGAGGACATAAACGTTGATATTTTAGTAACGATAGTGTTGCGCCAGTACACCGGCATACTGTCGGATTGTCATCCTAACAGTATACAGGGTGTCCCAAAAGGTTACGTACATAGGAAAGGGGATGATAGGGGTCACAAGGATCACCAGAAAAATAAAATAAAAATTCCCCTCTGGGTATTAAAAAAAATAAACGGCATTTTGTAAAAACTTAAAACTTTTACACCTTCTGGGGCAATTTTGTAACCAATGACCTACAAATATTCCAACATTTAAAAAAAAAGCTATTATGTTATCGTCAATAACCCTTTATCAATATGAAATAAAAAAAACAATACAACTAACAAAGATTTTAAAGAAAATAAAAATTGCCCCAGAAGGTGTAAAATTTTTAAGTTTTAAAAAAATGCCATTTATTTTTTTTTATTAAATTTTTCTGGTGATCCTTGTGACCACCCCTATCATCCCCCTTCCTATGTACGTAACCTTTTGGGATACCCTGTATATGTGTGAGTGTGTGTGTGTGTGTGTGTGTGTGAGTGTGTGTGTTAGTGTGTGTGTGTGTGTGTGTGTGTGTATGTATGTACCTGTAGCGCGGCATTACGCGGATGCATCTTGAGACAGTGCAGGAGGGGCTCTGCTGCCCCGCAGTCCAGCAGCAGGCGGCCGTGTGCCGGCTCTCGCAGCGCCAGCGCGGACATGCAGCGTAGTGTCTGCGCTGTCACTGTCGCGTTACTCTGACACATACAACACCTCATATTATAAATACGAATGTTTATATGGATGGATGTTTCAAAGTATTTCTAGAACGGATCAACAGATCTCGATGAAATTTGAAGATTTTTTTCCCGCGGACGGAGTCGCGGGTGACGGCTAATATTAGTAATATAGTAAGATTGGCTGTCGCCTGCGACTCCGTCCGTGCGAAATCAAAACAAAACTAAATTAACACCCTATGTGTTCTTCCAGACTATGTTCTACATCTACGTTAAATTTCTAGAAGTTTATTGGAAGAAGTTTTTCTAGACATACCTTCAAACAAACATATCCATCAAATCATTCGCATTTATAATCTGACTAATACTATAAATGCGGTTGTTTGAATGGATGGATCAATGTTTGTTTGAAGGTCCAGAACTAGTCTAGAAGAACACAGGCTATTGATATGAAAAGAATGGGACATGGTATGAAAAAAATGAGAGAAATGTTATGTCTAAAAAAACTTACAGCAAATCTACTCAACAATGAAACAATGATAGGCACAATTCCGCTCTTCACTAGTTGTCGTTTGACGTCATCGTTGCCAGCCAACGCTGTTATCCTAAAACAATAACAAAGTTATATTACCATGGAAACAAAGAATATATAAAATCAATATACAAATGGCAACCAAAGTTAAAACGCAAAGTTACTAGTACTCATAAGTACTTCACCTTTCTCTTGCTGTAAGATATCAGTACGAAAAAAAAACAGAAAAAGAAAAATTGCCTATAGATCCAAGCATATTAAGCATAAAATTCAACCAAAGACCTTTATGTGACGAAGAAGAAAACTACAGGTAGAAATCTAAATAGAACAAGTCAAGAAATGGCTGCAATAGAAAAAGGAAACTATCTATCCTTTAGTGATAATAATACTGAATTAAAAACAATACAATATTGGCAGAAACATAATCAAGACGTACTAAAAGGTGATATCATATATGAAACAGATCGTAACACGGCCATCACTAAAAACTGCATAATCAAAGTAAATCAAACATCTTGTAATGATTTTAGTGATAGTACGGATCAATTAAAACATAGAGCAAGACATATAAACTATTGGAAGACAGAATTAGAAAGAGCTTTAAGTGACATTGACGTAGAAATAAACGTATTAGAATCGTTAAGACAACAATTAAAAAATGCTATCGATATATTAAGAATACCTGAATATATCAATGAAGAATGTTTAAATTTAAGACGTAATAGAATGGAAACAGACGCAATATACGATGGACCACAAGACGCGTTATTCAACGAAGCAGTATTAATAGAAAATATTAAAAGAATTCATAAAGATTCTTTGAGAGAGATAGAAAATCAAATAAAAATGAACATGGCAGGTAAAAATACATTAGAAAGAGATTGGAGCAACAAATATTTAGCATTTAAATATGAAACTATAAACAGTGAATTAAAAACAAAATCTGAAAATGTGAAAACATCAGGAACAACAAGATTATGTGATGGACAATCTGACGTTCAATCATGGGAACATTTCACAAAATCAGGATTGGAACAATTCAAAAGTGCGATAAAGAAATCTGAAGAATTAAGAATAAAAATTAATGCGGTATTGATAAACACTGCAAGGGATTTACGTTCACAAGACATTAGAGTCAATAAAGCGTTAAGCGACAGAATCGCTCGTACAGAACAAGTAAAAACAGAATTAGAAAATCAATTAAAACTAACATTAGGAAAGATAAAAGAGACGGAGAATATTCTGGAAACTCTACACGAGGAAATATTAAAAGTATCACAAAGGGTACAAGTTGCTCAAACAAGATTGAACACTAAACATATAGGACCTAACGTCGAAAATTGCAGAGAAGGTTCCCTCTTCGGTTTAATAGACGAAGTACGAGATCTAAATAATAGTATGACATTATTACAAAACAGAATGTTGGAAACACAGAAATTACGAGCTAATTTAATACATGATAGATCTAAAATAGAAAATGAAATTATAGTAAAAAAGAAATCTCTATATATTGATAATGAAAGATGTTTATTTATAAGATCGCATTATCAATCTGCTGAGAAATTGTGTGGGTTTTAAAAGCTTATAAAATTAATAAACATATATAAAAACGGCTAAACACTCACGTATATTCGATCGGTGGCGGCACCGACTACGGCCGGCGAACTACAGTGAGGTGGGGGCCGCGTCCGCGCAATAATACCAGTCCCACTCACCCTGATGAAGGACCCCCGATGAGCTCGAAACTAGTCGGTGCCGCCGGACAAATATACGTGAGTGTTTAGCCATTTTTATAAGTTTAGTATAATGTCTGACAAAAGTTTGAATAATATTATAAAATTGATTATAATACAATGCAAGTATAAAATAAACTTTAAATCTTTGGTTAATTTTTTAATACTCATAACAAACGATTTAGGTAATTGTAATCTACTACTGACATACGTAGTTATCCGAAACAAACATTTTTTATACATGAAATCCACACAAAGAATCTCATAGTGGAATTAAAAATGCCTAAGTTACTCCCGCACATATAAGCTACCTTCTAGTAATAGTCCCGTCAAAATTGGTCCAGACATTACGGAGATTACCCAAAACAAACGGACAGACAGACCCACAGATAAACTAAAAAAATGATTTTTGTTATACGCAACTTATATATTGTTCAAGATTTATTTATCAACATTACATACAGACATACAAATCTAACTTATATTATAAATACAAAAGTTTGGATAGATTTATATTTGTTAGAATTTCCGAACTGGTAGTGCTGAAATTTGGCATAGATGTAGAACATACCCTGGAAGTACACATATACTACTAATTAAGTTTTTTCTAACCCAACGCGGAGTCGCAGGCAACAGCTAGTATATACTCACAGCTTAGTGGCTTGATGTACAACGGTGACGTCATCGTAGTTATCAGCCAGCACAGTGAAGAGAGCAGCAGCGCCGCGCTCCGCCGCCACCGCGCACAGCTCGTGTCGCACCAGCAGGCACGCGATTGTACACATCACATCACTTACCAACGGTGGCTTCATGTTATCTAACACAAATATACTTCACTAGAACATGGAATATTCTAGAAATTACAAGCACAAGAGGAATCTAATACTTTGTTTCAACGATGGCATACATCACCAACATCAACCACGACCACAGACAAGTTTCAAGTGGAAGCAATTCTCTGTATAGTCTGATGAATGCATTCCGGAAGTCCAATTTTACTCTTCTTTAAGGACAAATGAGAAGAATGGAAGAAGAGGATTAGGCGGTTTGGAGAAGGATACCGTACACAAGGCAACCCTCAAGTTAATAGTATTAATGTGTTTCGTCTGATAAGTGTGTGTGCGGGAGGACAAATTCTATTTCTCTTCTTCTTTATCCCATTTTCCAAATAAGAAATGGTGGGATGGGTAAATTAATGTCTCATTGGTCTATTAAACCATCCCAACCCCATCTGTATCCTTTTAACTTATTCAAAATGTCTATGGGCAGAGATCACTTTCCAGAAATCAGTTGGTCATTTGCTTGTTTTCTAAAATAATTAATCTAAGATATTGTAGAATAATCTTACTTTCAAGCAACCTTGTCAACGTATCGAGAAGCTCCGCGCCAAGTTCACGAGCATGTTCGTGAGCTTTGCCAAACTCCACGCGCACGTCGTCGTCTAAAGTCAACTTTCTGATAACTTGTAGGCATTCACTTATTAACTGAAATACACAAACTATTATTACTTTGAGTTGATAAATGTTCACTAAGACCTTTAACATATATTAAGCAACTGACTTTGTAGCCTATGACATCGGCTTCACAGATTTAAAAAAAAATCAAAGCCTATGTGTTCTTCCAGACTATGTTCTACATGTATGCCAAATTTCAGCGAAATCCATGGAGCCGTTCTGAAGATATCTTCAGTACTTCAGAGTACAAACATCCATCCATAAATTCTCATTTATAATATTAGATTGTGCCAGTTATTTTCTTTCAGTGACATTTAAAGTAATTTAAAAAACATTTGTTTTTTTTTTTTAGTTTGATTTATTCTAAACGGGTGAAATATCCTTGTTGTCTAGTTCATTGCAAAATCTATTTTAAGTTACTTACCTCTATATTATTAGTTTTATTCAATAAATTGTTCGAATTCCATCCAATGCCAGCACCAAATATCATCTGTCTGTTCATTTCATGTTTAACACAACACACAGCGGTCCATTTTAATGTTGCTATTAAAATAGATTCATCTTCTATTTCATCTAGATTTCTGAAATCAAAATTTATCTCAAACTAAGCTAGATCTAGACTGGATACTACTGTTAATAGTAACCGAGTGTATCCACTGTTGAAAAATTTTTTTTGAAACATGTTACCACTTCTAAAATAATGTTTCAATATCAGTGTTGCCACAGTACAAAATGTAATAATTAAAATGAAATTGTATGGTAGCTATATTTTTTTTCTCTTTAAATTCAGACATTTTTCACGAGCACCAAAAAAGTATCAAACATGTCAAACTTACTTTTTAATAATTTCAACACCTTTTCTATCCAGCAAATCTGGTTGTGAATTCATTAAAGCGATCAATGTGTTTATTACTTTTATAATAGAAGCAGCATCTTTTTCATTATTAACATTCAAGTAAGATTTCTGTTTTAAATCTAGTAAATTTATAAGCGCAGGATAAATACCCTCTTTGCCTGCTCTTACTCTATGAGCAATATCTTTGTTGCATTCTCTCTGAAAATTGAATAATCTTTGTACATTTTTTTAAGTGTATGATGTCAAACACAAAATCACACCTTATTTCGCTAAAATTGCTGCTTGTTAGCCCCCTTCTGTTATAAAAAAAAAATAGGAGTTATTATTGCCCATGGGCATCTGCTACAAGTTAAAAAGCAACAGATGAATGCATTTAGGCAATGGTCTACAGTTAATGGACAGAGGAGGGACTCACAATAAGATGGTCTATTCCTCATTGGTATGGGAAGGCTTGCCATATCCACTTTCCCCTTCCCATCCTTTCCTTATATGAAAAGAGGTATTTTATGTAACTTTATACTATTAATTTACAAAAATTTATTTAATACTGAGACCAGAGAGCAACTTTGTTTGTAATTTACAATTTTGCAAAGCACCAATAGCCTAATGGTTACAAGTACAGATTTCCAATCATGTGGTTGAAAGTTCTAATACTAGAGGTTACTTTGAATGGTGCAAGTAATATTAGTAAATAATCAAAAAATGTGCTAATTCTTAAAAATATAGAAAAATTATCAATAGAAAATAGTTACCATCAATATATCCAATTGTTCCAAGATTGGTTCATCATTGTTTTGGGCTGCATTTGACAACTCCTTGAGTTTTTTAACAGT